CTGAATTTCTGAAATCCTGTCAACTTTTTATTGGTATATTTTATATCTACATAATGATAACATTCATCATAGGGAGTTTGTACCTATACATGATGTATCTTGCTTCTTCTTTTTTTTATTCCCCTCCCCTCCCTTCAAACCCTCTTCCCCTCCTTATGGAATCCTGACTATTGCATGCCTTAATGTAGCATTTTTATCATGGCTAATTGGAGTTCTATATGCCTCACTTGTTTGTGTGTCAAATTCTTTTTCTATGTTTGGAAAGTTTTCTACCATGATGTCTGTGAACAGGTTTTTTGTATCATTTGCATTATCTCCTGTTTTTTCATTGATTCTGATCAATCTTATGTTATTTTCTCTGCATCACCTAGCAGCTATTGGTTGATTTCTCGTGGCTCCTGGCTATTTTTAAGAAGTATTTTTTTTCAGCTGGGTGTGGTGGCACACACCTGTAATCCCAGCACTCAGGAGCTGAGGCAGGAGGTTCCCTGTGAATTTGAGGCCAGCCTGAGCTACAAAGTGAGCTCAAGGCTGAAAAAACAAAAAAGGCTGGCCTGAACTGCATAGCGAGACCCTGTCTCAAAAAGACCAAAAAAAAAAAAAAAAAAAAAAAAAAAAAAAAAAAAAAAAAAAAAAAAAAAAAAGAAGAAGAAGAAAGAAAGAAAGAAAGAAACATTTATTTTCATGATCAGATAACCACAGTCCTGTCTTCCATATCTGCTATTCTGTCCTTACATGGGCTTATTCTGGTATGTATACTTTCAATGGAATTTTCAGTCTCCTGGATATCTGTTTGAATCTGTTTCATGGATTCCATTTCTTTCCTAGTTTGTGTGCTCATGTTTCCATCATTTTCCCAAGCTCCTCTGCTTTCTTTTTTTTTTTTTTCTTTAATGTATCTGCTCTAGAGTCACGAACCATGTCTTTCATTATGGTCACCAGTTATCTGAGAAATTATTTCTGATTTGATTTTTTTTTCTAGAGCTCACCCATTTGCTTTGTTATTCCGGCTGTTACCACGTCAGAGAATCCATTTGGGTGGCTCCCAAACTATTCCACCTCACTGCCCCATGGGTTTGCCTCTGGTGACCTGGAAGTCTGGGGTTGCATCTTGCTTAAGTGTCTTTTAATTTTCTATTTTTTTAGTTTAATTCCTGGATGATGTTTGTAAAGTGCTTATGGGAGGTAGCTTTATTGCTAGTATTTGGAGCCCTTAGAAAATGAGTACTTCTCAGAGGTGTCTTCCAGGTACAGCTGGCTTTTGGGTTTGGAGTCTGTTGCAAGATCCTATCTCTTCAATTTATTGGAGATGAGAAGTTGCTGCCTATTTGACCCAGCCCCTAGTTCCTTACCACTGGCTTATAGTACTTTTATGATCTTTAGGCAATCTTAGTCATGGCATACCAGGAACAACAACTGTTTAGAATATTTTTCTCAGCTTGGCTAAAATAGTACAATCATCAAACACAGCCTAGAGAATGACAACCTGAGGTAACTATTAATTTGCCACCTTTCGGCTGGGGATTTAGCTCAGTGGCACAGCGCATGCCTGGCAAGCGCAAGGTCATGAGTTCAATTCCCGGTACCAGAAAAAAAAATGAGGAAAAAAAATGCCACCTTTAACCATATGAACTATATCTGTGGTTATATAACAAAATCTAAAACAAACCAGAAAAATTGTACATAGTAAATATGACCTCAGTGGTGATTTTACTCACCACTGAAAATTTTAAAGGGGTTAGGGGAAAAATAGAAAACTTGAAGAAGAGGAAGAGATTAAAAGCAAGGCTGGAGGACAAAGGAAGGGTATGCAATCTTCGGGAAAGAAGATCTTCTTTGATGAAGAAGACAGGAGGGAAAGAGGGAAGGAAAAAATAAAAATGAACAGAACAGAACAACAACAAAAACCAGGAATCATGTTCACACTCATAAATATATGAACAATCAAGGAAAAACCAAACTAAAACAAAACGAAACAAAATCAAGAAAAAAGTCCACTTCAGGGCGTGTCTCTGCTGTCACTGTAGGCAAAGAGGGCAGACAGAGCCCAGATCCATGTTAATTAATCCCCAGCAAGCCAGCTGGAGCTTTATGGAAGGATAGTGGACAACCCCAGCAAGCCTGCACATTTATTCTCACTGAAGTTCAGGCTGGTTTCTGGCTGTGAGGCTGACACTCAATTTGTTCAACCTGTAGCACTCCATGTGCCTCCTTTCAGCTTGAAGTCAGCTCCCCATTGGCTTGAACCCGGCAGCGCATCCCAACACTGGGAGCTGCTAGATGGAGCCAGCCACAGCTGTTCTACAGTCCAAGCTCAGTTGTCCCCTCTAGGAGATGGCTACCAGCCAATCACCTCTTCCGGGGGACAGTTAAACTTGAATAATTACCAGCCACTGCAGTCCACAGTGTCCACTGCTCCATTCCACTGGTGTGACTCTGTGGAGGCCTCTCGGGTTGCCAGTAGCCGCTGCACATGTGCAGGTTCAGGCCGCACCTCCCACACAGTGAGTCAGGACTCAAGGAGAAAGCGCTGCCTTCCACCTCCTTCTATGCTGAGGTCTCTCTCTTCACTTTCCTGTGGGGTTCAATTCTCACTTCAGATCCTTGCTGGGTCCCAAGGACTCACTTCCCTCCATCTTCTCTTCCTCACATTGCTATATTCCAGTATCTGGACACCAAATCTTTGAGAGGCTGTTTTTCTACTGCTCACCACTCCATCATTTTCCTGGAAGTCCCATGGCCCCTGTCTTAACCCATGCTCTGCCCCTAGGTGCCAGGGAGCCCATAGGCTGCTACTGCTGCCCCTGCAAGTAGACTGGCAAAGGCAGGTGAGGCACCTCTGTCCCACAAACTTGGGACCAACTCACTCTCCTTCCCCTACCCCCATTCCTCCTCTTTGTGCTCCTCCTCTTCTTCTTCACGCTCCTCTTCCTGCTGCTGCTGCTCTCCCCAAATAACCCTCCCTGGCACAATTTGGACAACAGTAGTCAGAAGTGAAATGCACAGCTGGGCACGGTGAGGCACACCTGTGAGCCCAGCTACTCAGGAGGCTGAGGCAGGAGGATAGCTAAGAGACTGAGGCTCCCTAGCCTCTCCCAGGCTCCCACAACATAAGGTCCCTGGGAGACCCATCCCCTACAGGTCCCCAGCACCTCCCAATACTGCTGTCCTGGTGTGAGCCTTTCACATGCAGGTCCTTGGGGAACCACTTGTGTCCCAACCACAGGAGGACAGAGTGTGAGGGAGGTGACCACCTCCTTTCAGATGCACACAGGACTTGGGTTCCAGAACCTTCCTCCCACTCTCGCTCCCTTAGCTGGGCAGCCATGGAAGGGGAGGTCAGAGAACAAAGGAGGCTTTGATGAGGAGACCGTGGACACTCAGGGTGAGGTGGCCAGGCTGAAAGTCCCCCTCCTTTTAGAGGTACAGAGGGTGAGATGTCCCAATCCACTACCAGAACTAGTGAACGGAGAGGTGTGAGCTCCTGATTCTCAGATGATCCAGAGGCCCAGGTTTGACCCACACTTGAGAGGATGACAGGGGACATTTAGAGGACATGGTGTGGATGTGATGACAGAACCAGGGGCTTGCAGGTGTGTGGAGATCAGCCTGTGTGCATTTCCTCAGCACCAGATGGAAGCCAGGGGACCAAGCTGTGCGGATGCCATCTTGGGTCCCATCCAATATGGTGCCCATTGAGGTGAAGAGGTCTCACAGCACAGCAGGCTGTGCAGGGGCTAAGGAAGGAGCTATGAGCACCCCCTCGGGAGCAGGGGTGCATATGCAGGGTCACGTGCACAGGAGAGTGTGTCAGCTTCTGCGGCTGTGAGACAGGAACTTAGACAACCAGCTTATCAAGAGACGAGGCTCACCCTGAACTTGTTGCTCCACCCTGAACGTCCCAGTCCATGGTTGCGGCCCCCTTGTTATGGGCCTGTGCTGGAAACACATGGAACACCAACCACAGAGAGAAGTCAGCCAGAACAAAGGAGGATCAAGAATTATCTTATTCCCAAACTGGGTGTGGTGCCACATATTGCCCTCTCAGATACTTGGGAGGCTGAAGGAGGAGGATGTAAGTAGGAGCCCAGCCTGAGCAACTTAGTGAGGCACTGTCTCAAAATTAAATTTTTAAAAAATGGGGGCTGGGGATTTAGCTCAGAGGCACAGTGCCTGCCTGACAAGCTCAAGGTCATCAGTTCGATTCCCGGTACCAGAATAAATAAATATATAAATAAATTTTTAAAAAATGGGTTGGGGATGTATCTCTGTGCAAAGGGCCCAGGTCCAACCCCTAGTATTCACACACATTCACACTCACACACACACACACACACACACACAAATTACCTTATTCTCTTCTTCCTCCTCCACATTTTTTTTTTCTACTTTTGGTACTGAGAATCAAACTTAGGACCTTGTGCTTGCCAGGCAGGGGCTGTGCCACTGAGCTCTATCTCCAGCCCTTCTGTTAACTTTTTTTTTTTTTTTAAGACAAGGTCTCGCTATGTAGTCCAGGCTGGCCTCGAACTCGAGGCACTCCTCCTGCGTCAGCCTCTTAAGTGCTGGGATCCAATCTGTAGTTTGTGCCTTTCGATCTCATCTGAAATGTGTAAAACACGCGAGCACACTCAGGGGGCCTGAAATTTTTGTTGCAAACTGATCAGCCCTGTTTCTTAATCAGTTTGAGCCTCAGTTTCTCTCACATGTCTACATTGGACTTTTTAAAAGTTGAACCTGTCAAAGTAGAGGGTAAACCAGTGGTGAGCAGCTGAGAGAGACGCTGGAGAGACACTGGACAATGATACAGCGACTCAGTTACGAGGAAATTCAAGGCAAATGTTCCCCATTCGGTAGGGAATACAAAACAGGAAGTGTGGCAGCAGACAGCTAAACAGCGCAGGCGCGCGCCCGCCCCTCCGCCAAGCACGCAACCGGAAATGTGGCACAGGGTGGAGCACAAGGACGCAAGCGCGTCGCCTCGCTCGACCAATCAGAAAAACGCAAGGCGAGCCTTCGGGCGGAAATACCCTGTGCAAACAGGAAGCGCGGCATTCTGCTGTGGGGTCTCGGGGTCGGCGCTATGGAGGCCTATGAGCAGGTCCAGAAGGGGCCCCTGAAGCTGAAAGGCGTCGCAGAGCTCGGCGTAACCAAGCGGTGAGGCCGGCGGGACGGGACGCCGCGTTCTGCGCCCGCCCGGGACCGATTCCCGGCCTGAGCCCTAGGTCGACCTCACCCGCCGCTCCCTCTGCCCTGCTAGGAAGAAGAAGAAGAAGGACAAGGACAAGGCGCAGCTCCTGGAGGCGATGGGGACGAGCAAGAAGGGCGAGGAGGAGAAGCGGCGCTGCCTGGACAAGCGGACGCCGGCGCAGGCGGCCTTCGAGAAGATGCAGGAAAAGCGGGTGAGGGGGGCGGAGCTGTGCCTCGGTGCCCGCGTTTGCGGGGCTCGGGAAAGTTTTCTCCCGACAGAGTGGCGAGCTTTGGGTGCAGCAGTGCAGTTGAAGTTTTAGGGGTTCCGGGCCGGGGCAGAGCGCGTGCCCCGCCATCCTGCGCGTGGCGGTCCGTCTCCATGGTGACCGTGTCCGGCAGGCGCCAGCTCCGGCATTCCTCATAACCAGCTTGGGTGCGGGGAGAGCAGAGGTCAGGGCTCGCGTGGTCAGCGGGCTCGGTCTAGGCCAGCGGCTGTGGTTGCGGGGGACCCCCGCCGCCGCTCGGCACGTTCTGCAGACATTCTGGGTTCACAGCCGGGCAGGGTGCTGCTGGTGCCCAGGGGGTGGACACCAGGGACTGCTGCACACGCACGGTGCAGGGGCAGCGACCCCCCAGACGTCCACAGTGCGGAGAGGGGGCGTCCCGAACGCGGGGCCGCGTGGTCCTAGAGGCGACGCCGAGGACAGTTGACTCGGTCTCAGGTCTCAGTCCGTCTCCCGCAGGAGAGGCCGGGCGCGTCACTGGCTCCGGGTACTTAGCACCACCCGGTGGTGTGGCTGGCCGGGTTGTGTCCACTAGAAGTAGGGCTGGAGTCTCCCTCCCAGGGTTGTGATGAGGCTACAGCGAGCGAACCGCTCTGTGCCTTGGACCGCTGAGGTGGAACGCGGCTGAGATGTTCTGTTTTACTTTTTGTGGTACTGGGGATTGAACCAGTAGCTTGCACTGAGCTACATCCCCAGCACGTTTAAAAAAAAAAAATTTTTTTTTTTTGAGACGGAGTCTCTCACTCTGTAACTCAGGCTGGCCTCGAAGTCACTGTGTAGTCCAGGCTGGCTCAGGCTTGCGTCGGCCTCCTGAGTGCTGGAATGACAGGTGTCCACTACCAGCCGGCTAGGGCTGAGGCTCCATTGCTGGAGTGGGAGCCGAGGCTGACGCATCCGCGGCCTCCATGAACTGGAGCAGCCCAGGTAGCTCTGCTGTCTCATCTCTGGTGCCCCAGGGCTGTGTTCCAGCCTCTTCCCATTGGTTGTCTTGTGGAGGACCACCTGGGTGACTCTCCGTGAAGGAGGAGCAGTTGCCTCTCTTTTGGCTGAACCTGGTCCTATTTCCGTGTATTGATATTGTACAGAGCTGGCTAGGACTTTTCCTTGTCTCTGCAGTTGGCTTTAAGCAATGCAGACAGGTCCAGCTGAGGTGCTGATGTGTAGTCTTTGAAGCAAAGACAACAGGGCGGTGTTTACCTGGACCCTGAGCCGCCAACCCCTGCCCCCACTGCCCGTTGCTCCCGTGTGTAAGGTGGGACGAAGAGCCAGTGTTCCAGCTGGCGCCTCAAGATAGTGGCTACGACCTCCTGGGGCTTGAAAGATTACGCATCAGAGCTGAAGCCAACCCCAAAACATTAGCTACTATCTCCTTGTGTTATGCAGATTACTCTCTCTGCAAATCCTTCTCTGCATATGGCGGAGGTGATTTCAGGCCCTCTACCCAGCCCAGCTCACAGCACTCACCTACTTCCCACAGTTCTCACAGTCACTCAGCCTCAAGCCCCTCCCTTCTCCACGAAGGAGCAAAATCTGAGTTCAGTCCTGGGTCAAGGCCTTTGTTCTGGTCAGCCATCATCTTAGCCAGACTCAGGACCCCTCGATTCCCCACCACTGTGGATATAGTATGTGTCTTTATTTACACCACGGGTTGCACCGGGAGTAGAAGACTGGAATTAACTTGACAGGATTCCAGTAACTTACCCATGGGATGACAAGGAGACACTTCCTGGACTGCAGTGAGAACAAGGCGGGCTCACTGCATCATCTCATCCTCCAGGTCCTTTTTGTCCTGCTGGGCCTTCAGGCGCCCATGTGGTGGCTGCTCCTAAGGGCACAGAGCGAAAGCTTGGCCCAGAACTGGCCCTGCATTTGTTGAGGGTTTTTTGTTTTTTGAGACAGGGTCTCACTCTGTAGTTCAGGCCGGCCTCGAACTCTAGGCATTCCTCCTGCCTCAGCCTGCTGAGTACTGGGATTACAGGTGTGTGCTCTGTTGAGTTCATGGGGCCCGGGGCCTACCCAGTGTCAGCCTGGGCAGCACAGTGACAGAGCCAATAGAGAGCTGGCCACAGTCCCCGGCTCCTGAATGCAGAGCCAGTGTGGCCTCCTTGTGTGCCGGGCACCGCTGCCTGTTCTTCTGAGGGAGCCCAGGGCCTCCCCCACCCCACCCCCGGGCTTCACCTCTGCCCCACATCCCTCCTAACTCGGTCCAGGCTGAGCTGGTGTCATCAGAATCAGGGATGAGGGTTGCAGTAGTCATAATGTGGAACAGTTTCAGAATCAAAATAGGGGAAGTGTTCCAGGTGGTTTTCGTTTTGTTTGTTTGTTTGTTTTGAAACAAGGCCTCACTACGCAGCTCAGGCTGGCCTTGCACTCACTTGGTAGCCTAGGCTGTTCTTGAACTCCGCAATGATCCTCCTGCCTCAGCCTCCCAATTGCTGGGATTACAGGCATGTGCCACCACGCCCGGCCTTCAAGTCTTTTTAATTCTTAAAATCAAATACCTGGCCTTGTTTATGGGATACAGGGTTATACACTGATAGGTGTGTCCACCGTGTACTGGCCAGGTCAGAGTGGCCCCATTTCTGGCTTCAGTGCAGCATGGCCAGGTGCTGGGAACCCTCCATGGCCCAGGTTGCTGCTCAGGGTGTGGCAAGCAGTTGTGACCACCATCACCCCAACCCTCCCTTCCTAGTTCCTTTTCTTTTTTTTAGAAGAATTTATTGAGGGGCCAGGGATATAGCTCAGTGACACAAGCACCTGCCTGGCAAGCGCGAGGTCCTGAGTTCGATTCCCAGTACCAAAAAAAAAGAATTTATTGAGAGAGCAATAGCTTCTGTCTGACAGAAAGGGGCCCAAATGTGGGTTGCCCACCCTTCCTATTTGTAGTGCCTTCTTTCCGAAGGGTGACTGAGCCAGGCTCCCCACTGGGGCAGCCCGAAGGGGTGTACCCTGTGCCCCTAGCCTGGTCCCAGCCCCCGCCCAAGCCTATGACTCACCCCACGTCCCTCTCCCCAGCAAATGGAGCGGATCCTGAAGAAAGCGTCCAGAACGCACAAGCAGCGCGTGGAGGTGAGTGATGGTGGAGCCCGGGGGTCGAGGGGCAGGGCTCACCCGCGCAGCGGCGTCTCCCACTCCCATAGGGTCAAAGGGTGACAGGCCGGGAGATGGGCACCGCCACACGGCTGCCCCTGCTGTCCCTCCAGGCTCAGGTGACATGGCATCTCTGCTCCCCAGGACTTCAACAGGCACCTGGACACCCTCACCGAGCACTACGACATCCCCAAAGTCAGCTGGACCAAGTAGGCCCCGCGGAGTCTTCTGGAAACTTCTCCCACCCTGCCCTGCGTCTGCAGCCGCTGAGCCTGTGCTTTCGGGAACTGTCTTGTCACCCTGGAACCTGATTAAAATTAACTGTGACCTTCCCTTTACTCCACGTTGATTTTCTCAGTAGCGTAGAGGGGAAAAGCCCAGTTAGGTTGGGCTGGGAAGTTCAGGACTGCCCAGAGGTTGAGGTCATTTCAGGGTGAAACGACCACAGAAAAATGCCAGCACTGGGTGACATTGCCTGGGGGACAGGCTCCTGGGGGTGAGAAGCCAGCGCTGCTGCCCCCGCGGGCACCCTCCGGCAGGGGAGCCACACTGGCCCTCGGGCTGCAGCCTCTGCCACCTGGCCAGTCCGACCACAAGGCCAGGGCAGACGTTGGCCTCGTCTCCTGCACTTGGGCCGGCACAAAGTCCCCAGCACCTGTGTCTGCCTCGGGGACGCTGCTCACAGTCACAGCTCTTAGTGATGGAGGCAGGCACAGCTCAAGGCCTCAGGCTCCCGGGGACAAGTCCAGACCAGGGCTGGACGCAGGGACCTCTGCGGGCCGCGCTGCCTGTGCTGTAGTTGGCATGGATGCCGAGAGGACAGAGGAACCACGCGCCGGGCCCGGGCTACCGCGTGTGAAGTGCAGAGTGAAGCAAAACCGGTTAGGGCTGTGCGTCTCAGTGTCCTTCCAGCTCCTCGGCCATCCCAGAAGGGCTGGCTTTCGGATTATCACACACGAGCAGTGTTCTGGTACAAAATTATTCCTCGGGAGAAATTAGCACATCGGTTACACCATGGTCTGCAGCTAAGAGCCAGGAAGCCCAGATTGAACACCTCCTGCTCAGAATCTGAGGCACCGGAAGTGGCCTGGACTTCAGATCTTTGGGGATTTGGGATATTTGGATGTGCATAAAAAGTGTCGGGAGAGGGGACCCAGGCTTAGACAGAGTTCACTCCTGTTTGACATGCTCCTGTCCGTGTGGCCGGCAGGTGGTCTTATGGGATGTTTTTATTAGTGTATTCCGCGATGCATAATAAATACATTCATTGTGAATTGGGACATACACATGGTACAGTTTTCTTTGATGTTTTTGATGATTTTGTACGTGAAACAGTTCCACAGTGTGACATTCTCCACTTGTACCGCATCAGCTCAGAAGGTGCAGGGTTTTGGAGGGCCTCGGATTTTGACTTAGGGATACTTCGTCTGTACTCTTGTCTGCATCAGCTCACTGTCAGGAATTCTTACAGAACCTTCTAGAAAGGTGGTCTGGGGGCTGGGGATTTAGCTCAGCGGCAAAGCGCCTGCCTGGCAAGCGCAAGGTCGTGAGTTCGGTTCCCGGTACCGGAGAAAAACCAAAAAAAAAAAAAAAAAAAAAAAAAAAAAGAAAGGTGGTCTGGCAAGGTTGGTTTTATTTACTGGGGATAGAATCCAGGGCTTTGGCACTCAGCTATATCCCCAGCCTTTTGTATTTTGAGACAGTCTCGCTAAGTTGCCCAGGTTGGACTTGAACTTTTGATTCTCTGCCCCAACTTCCCAGAGTGCTGCAGTGACAGGCACTGGGCTCAGCTTGGCAGTGTGGGGCCTTTTCCAGTTAGAAGCCAGTGGCTGTGGGAACGCTGTGCGGTGCTGCGGTAAATACTCTGTTTATTTCTGTGTAACAACTGCTGCCGAGCCTCATGGTTCAAGATGGGGTTTCTCCTCCCCACGTGAACTGACTGCCCCGGGCCAGGAAGTCCAGACGACATCTTAGGTGCAGGACCTGGCTCACCATCATACAAGTTGTGTGCTTTGCTGGGCATAGTAGGGCACACCTGTAATCCCAGCACTCTGAAGGCTGAGGCAGGAGGACTGCATCCAGTTCAAGGCCAGCCTGGGCTACACAGTGAAACTCTGTCTCAAAAACAAGTCCTGTGGCTGAACCCAGGGGCTGGGAAGAACCTCACACGGACACGGATGCTGGGAGGCGGCATTGGCTGCACCACTGGGAGCCACGGCGGCCCTGCCTGGACAGTTGGCCAGACCCTGTCTCAAAGAAGGCCGGATGCCGCTCAGCACCCAGGAAGACTATAATGGTAAAGGGGGTGGGGCCCAGCGGGGAGAAACTGCCAAGTAGGACTCTGGGCCTCCTCATCCCAACCCCTTTTTATTTTTTATTTTGAGACAGGATCTCACTAAATTGCCAAGGCTGGCCTCAAACCGGAATAGCTGGAATCGAGAGATGCACACCACGGTGCCCAGCTGAAAAGATTTCCATATAGGACATCTTAATAAAGGGTGTCCTGGAGACTCGGGGTCCCAGGTAGCCCCGGGAAGCCCCCTGTCAGCGCCAGGCATTAGATCAGCATAGGAGAAACTTCAGAGCAGCAGTGACCAAAATACTGTCAAGGCACAAAGCAAGGGGGTGCAGTCGGCAGGTGACAGTGGGAGCCACTGCACACAGCAGTCCCTCGGCAGAATGCTTGGGAACAGCACCCATGTGAAGCAAGCCCTCTGGTGTCGCTCCCCACCCCCACGATGGTGCTGAATGTAGACGTGCACTCTCTTCAAGGCACAGAGGTCCCCAGCTTCTGAGGGGCAGAGCATGCCCTGCTTGCTAGCAACAGCATCCGTGCGTCACCCATCTCAGCACTGCCCAGAGAAATATGACAAGGCTTTACTCCATGTCATCCAGCACGGAAAAAGAGCACCAAGAGTTTAAAAATCCTGGATTAAAAAAAAAACCTTGCAGCAACGTGGAAGGAGAGTCTACAGTTGGCATGTGCAGTAGATCAGGGTCCCCAGCCCCAGGTCTGTGGCCTGTCAGGCACCGGGTTGAGTGGCAGGAGGTGAGCAGCGGGCAGAGCAAGGCTTCCTGTGTTTCTGGCTGCCCCCATCACAGCCTGAGCTTCACCTCCTGTCAGATCAGCAGTGTTGGATCCTCACAGGCCAAGGCCCCTGCTGTGAACAGTGCACCAGACAGATTTGGGTTGCAGGCATCCTGTAAGAATCTGACAGGGGCTGGGGATTTAGTTCAGCGGCACAGCGCCTGTCTAGCAAGTGCAAGGTCGTGAGTTCGATTCTTGGTACCCAAAACAACAACAACAAAAAGAATCTGATGGCTGAAGATCTGAGGTGGGGCTGAGGTTGTGATGCTAGTACTGGAGAACAGCTGCAAAGAGAGAACCGTTAGCAGAGAGCTGTGACACCAACCAAGACACATCAGCTGCTCACAGCCTCAGCTCAAAACCCATCAGTGAGTGGCACCTGGTGACGGCGCTAAATCAGAATCCAACACTTCTTTTAGCCGGCACGTGGGCCACCGCTATTTTACTGACCACTTCCATCTGCCTCTTTCCCAGCTGTGCTGTGCCCTCCCTCGAAGTTCTGGGAAGTCCACAAGGCAAATGTAGCCACAATGAGTAAACCACAAACCTCACTGCAGAACCGCCTGGAAAAGGGGGAAGGCCCACTGATGACACAGCAGAAGACTCTAAAGTGACAACAAAAAGAAAGCCGAGTTTAAAAGAAAGCATCAAGGGTCCTATTTCAGTGGTGGCTTCACTGCACAGGACGCAGGCAGAGCACAGGGGCCTTCCGTTATACACAGGCAGGGGACAGCTTTCTAAGGGAGGGCACTGGCCAGGGTCATGGGTGCAGAAAGCACTTTGCACACTGCTTCCCAACCACCAAAGAACCCCGAAGCAGACAGGAATGGACTCATGACCTGTTTGTGAATAAGCCACTGAATCGACTTTGTCCATGTTAGAAGATGATCAACTGGGAGATGGCAAATGCCATTGGCCTTAAGAGCGTGTCTGAGACAACTTCACATCTCCATACGTCCTGGAGTAATGTCAGGACAGAGTATCCCAAGATTGCCACAACGGCACTGACAAGCCCACTTCCATTTCCAGCATCCAGTCTTTGTGAAGCACGGTTTTCTGTAGTGACAAGAGCCAAAGTGAGATTACAGAATACACTGGACATAAGCAGCACACTTTGGGTGGCTGTAGTGGGTTGGCATCTGGTGGTCCACTTATAACCCCCAGCTGAACTGAGTAAGCGTGGTGCTGGGTGTGGGAGGTTGTCAGCAGCATAAGAGGGAATTGTCAGCAGCATAAGAGGCAGAACTGGAGAAGTGAGGCTATTGGGAGCTGGCAGAGGCTGTAAGGAGCTGTTGGTTCTGTTGGAGGAGCTTGTCATGCTGGCTTTCCTGATGAACTCGGCTGTTTTCAACCTTCGAGGAGCTCGGGACCTTGTTGGCACTGAGAATAGCTTTGGTTCACTTTGGGGAGCTCTGGTCCTCACTCTGAGCATCGCTTCCTGGCTCCAGAGGGGAAGGTGCACAGCTCAGGCTCCTGAAAAAGCTTGCTGTGTTGCCTTCCCTGATGGGAACTCGGCCATCCTGATCACTGGAGGAGCTCGGGCCCTCACTGTTGCTGAGGATGGCTGTGGTACCTTTCAGGGGAGCTCTGGTTCTTCTGAGCGTCACTTCCTGGCTCCAGTGCAGATCCCTCAGCCTGCTAGCACAGATCCTTCATCCTGCTGGTACAAACGTCCCAGGTTCCACCACTGACCTTTGGGCCTTCCTAGTGCAGATCCGTGAAACAGGCCTGCATGAGACATTGTTATGGGCTCTGGGCCTCCAGGTGGACTCGTGGAAGACATTGTTATGGGCTCTAGGCCTTCGCTGGACTCATGCAGGGCATTTCCGTGGGATCCGGGCCCTCAGCTGGATTCCTGGGTCTTAGTGAGCCTGCACTCTCTTGTGTATCATTCTTTGGATGACTGTTATAAATAATCTTGTAAATGTGTCCTGTATTATATTGTTTCCCCTTGCAAAATAAGCCCCAAACCAACAGTGTCAATGCCCCCCATCCCCAGAGATGGGACCGTCTAGCTGCAGGAAAGCAAGCTCAGGGATCCGCTGACTGCACTGTGGAGAGCTGTGTCGTCACATCATTATATATTACAATATAATAATAGTGGAAATTAAAGCACACAGTAAGTGGGTAATGTGCTTGAATCATCCCGAAACCACCCACGACGGCCGTCCTCCACCAAGCGGGCCCCTGGAGCGGAGCGGGCTGGGGCCACCCGGCCTCCACGGAAATGTGGACTTGAGCGTTCGTTGCTCGTTCTCCTGCGCGCGAACCGACGTAAACGGGTGGGGGGTGGCCAGGACATGGCTGCGGCAGGTCCTTCCGTTTTATGGAAAAAGCAGAAAGCGGGGCGCGTCCGACGGGTGGACGGCCGCCCGGCGGGGCAGGGTGTAAAGCAAGCGGCTCCAGACGTCCGCCCGCGGCCGCCCGCGCTCCGCGCCGAGGTCGGA